AGTCGTGATGCACGGTTAGATTGCTTAGTGTGAAAGCTCAGCATATCTAACTTGAACACTTTGGTGCAAGTGGCACCAAGGTCGTGGTGAGTGAGATGGGGACACCTAATCTCAGTTGCTATGAACCCTTGGCCGTAAGGGCTAGCTTGGGTGCACCGCCAAGTGTGGGGGATGCCCCCGGGGTTATAGTCAACAACTTGGAGGTCTGGAAGACCAAGTACCTCTTAGCAACTCTGTTAAGGTGCCAAGGTGAGATCACTAGGTGATCTTATGGCCAGATAAGGACGAGGTCCTTGGTTGGCTAAGGAATGAAGTTCCTGGTTCAAAATGTTGAAATTGAACTGTTTAAGGTGGTGTGGCTTGGTCGTGATAACCAAGTGGGAAGAGCACCTAAGGGAAATAAACTATGTCCGTGCGATGGCATAGTGAGTCCGAGGAAAGTAGTCTCTATAAAAGACCCATGGGAGGGTCACGAAGTTGGGCCGTGGATAGAGCCCATAGCAGAAGATGCTAAAGAGACGTACTAGGGGTGAACGTCCTCCGGACTTGGCAAAGAAGAGTCTTTGCTATGGAACCGAAACAATACCTCAAGGAGGGAGGTAGAGATTCGATGTTGCTTGGTGCAACAATCAACGGATAGGAGCAAAAGATGAGTGGCCAAGATAGGGCCGTGGAATCCCTTGGAAGGAATCCAAGTGACAAAGTTAGGCGAGGAACACTAATGTGTTGGACGCTAACAAATTGCGGGAAAGGAAGTGTGTTTCCAAGGAGGGATTCCGAAATGCTCCGAGTTGGCGAAAGTGGAAGCTCCAAGGGAGGGAGCGGTAAGGTAGCCAAATGATAGGGCCATGAACAGCCCTAGCACAAAGCATGATAACTGGAACTTTGGCACGAAATAGAAGAGAGGATGATGGTGCCCTCGAGTAGAGAACTTCCTAGGATGGGAAGTGGAGTTGCACAAAAGGTGCAAGGCAAGGTGTCGGAGACACCTAGGAAATTGACTCCAAGAAGTCAAAAATTCAAAGTTCCAAAGTGCAAAGGTTATATCGATGGAAATTGAGACTACTCGAGAAGGAGTAGTGGGATTGACTTAGAGAAGGGTCTCTAAGAGGTTTAGCGAGAACTAAACCAATAAAAGGATGAACCATTACATGTGGTCCAATCAGTCTCTAAATTGGAGAAACTACGCTCCTTAAAGGATGGACAAGGCATGATGAGCCTTTGATGTCAAACCATAGACAAAGATTGGCTAGGTGCCAAAGATGGAAATGGTAACACATGTGGGTGTTACTTTATGAAAGGGTTTACCGTTCGATGAGGACATCGAACTTCGTCTATGGGTGGTGGAGTTGTGAGACACAAAATCCCTAGGCCCCAAAGTGGAGCCGGAAGGGCGCCACATGGTAGTGGCCGAAGCGAGAGCCAAACAAGCGTAACACGTTTGGACCAAAAGCTCCGACTTGAAAAGTCAAGAGCGAGAGTGGAACTCCCAACGAAGTGCTCGAGGAACGAGCACGAAGCGAGCAAAAGGCAAGGCTCCAAAAAGGGACCCAAAAGGACCAACACATGACACGTGGGAGTGTCCGAGATGGACTCGAGATGGAGTCCGAGATGGAGTCCGAGATGGACCCGAGATGGAGTCTGAGATGGAGTCCGAGATGGAGTCCGAGGTGGACCCGAGATGGACCCGAGTTGGAGTCCAAAGTGGAGTCCGAGATGGACCCGAGATGGAGTCCGAAATGGAGTCCGAGATGGAGTCCGAGGTGGACCCGAGATGGACCCGAAATGGAGTCCGAGATGGAGTCCGAGATGGACCCGAGATGGAGTCCGAGATGGAGTCCGAGATGGAGTCCGAGGTGGACCCGAGATGGACCCAAAATGGAGTCCGAGATGGAGTCCGAGATGGACCCGAGATGGAGTCCGAGATGGAGCCGAGATGGACCCGAGATGGAGTCCGAGATGGAGTCCGAGATGGAGTCCGAAGTCGAGACCGAGACCGGAACCGAGACCGGGACCGAGACCGAGACCGAGATCGGGACCGAGACCGAGACCGAGGCCGAGGCCAAGACCGAGCCCGAGCCCGAGTCCGAGTCCGAATCCGAGTCCGAGTCCGAGTCCGAGTCCGGAGCCTGAGAGGGTGAAAGCCCAAAGCGTTCGTCTCCCAGACCCTGGGGGGTTTGGTGAGCTCCAAAAGTATAGTAGGGGGAGGACTGCAGTGGAGCCAGTTTAGCCAGGAAAGGCCAATTTGGCCCAGGAAAGCTAGACCCAGTGTTGGGTGATGAACTGACCACTGGGAAGTCCAAGACTAGAGTGAATACGGACTGACAAGCGGGGTAGCTTGGTGAAGTGTTCAAGAGCCGGCTTTAGTTCCCCCGGGAGATCGACTGGCCGATGCTCCCAATCCAAGTGTGGGTGGCACTACCTACTTGGATACCAGGTGTGGCTCAACGGAACCTCGCTCTAAGCCCATGGCTAGAGCACCTAAAGGCAAAAGGCGGGGAGAGTACCTAGGTGGCTCGCGTAAGGCCACGGTGTTCCGAAATGTTGTCCCAAAGGCCTAAACTGTGGAAAGGAAGAGGAGCAGTCCTCTGGGGTAGTGACCAAGGACATAGTCGTGTGGTGAGGAAGTCCCAGAGGACCATGGGACTTAGTGGTCGGGCCTGTGGGCCTCGATCCAGTGGCAGTGTTGGCAAACACGGCCAGGGGCAGAAAGGGACTTGGTAGGAACTGACAAAGGGACTTTCGGAAAGGCGATTCCCCAGGTCTGTGGGCATCCTAAGGATGCTAAGGAGTGGATCCAAGATGACCACTCGTGGACAGATGGCCCAGTCTTGGAGAGACGGGATGGTGATGCAAGTGGTATTGGATCACTAGTGCAGCAAAGGTGAATGGGCATGGCCTTAGCGTAACGGGCCGAGATGTCAGTGGTACCTTTGGGTGTCGGTCTTGGGACCGGACACGTGGAGCACTTGGACCGGGTGCAAGTGTGGAGTGGCATGGATGCCATTCTTGGGGCTAGCAAGTCCCAAGTCCTAAATTGGACTTATGGAGGTTGTGAATGAGACTCCTCTAAGTGGTTAGAGGTGTGGTTAAGTGACTAGAGTAGAATGGAAAAATTAGTCGCTTACATCCTCCAAGTGGTCGGAGGTGTGGTTAAGTGACTAAAGTAGAATGGAAAAATTAGTCCCTTACATCGATCTCCCAGGGGATCTAAAGCCGGCTCTTGAACACTTCACCAAGCTACCCCGCTTGTCGGTCCATGTTCACTCTAGTCTTGGACTTCCCAGTGGGCAGCTCATCACCCAACACTGAGAACAACCTTCCTAGGCCAAACTGGCTCCACTGCAATCCTCCCCTTACTATACTTTTGGAGCTCACCAAACCCCCCAGGGTCTAGGAGGCGAACGCTTTGGGCTTTCACCCTCTCAGACTCGAACTCGGACTCAGAGTCAGACTCGGACTCAGACTCGGACTTGAGCTCGGGCTCGGGCTCAGTCTCAGCCTCGGTCTTGGTCTTGGTCCCGGTCTCGATCTCGGTCCCGGTCTCGGTCTCGGTCCCGGTCTCGGTCTCGGTCCCGGTCTCGGTCTCGGTCTCGGTCCCGGTCCTGGTCCCGGTCTCAATCTTGGTCTCGGTCGCAGCCCGGTTGGGGTCTCGGTCCCGATCTCGGTCTCGACCTCGGACTCCATCTCGGGTCCTTCTCGGACTCCATCTCGGACTCTGTCTTGGTCCATCTCGGACTCCATCTTGGGTCCATCTCGGACTCCGTCTCGGTCCATCTCGGGTTCATCTCAGACTCCATCTCGGTCCATCTCGGACTCCGTCTCGGTCCATCTCGGGTCCATCTCGGACTCCATCTCAGATTCCATCTTGGATTCCATCTTAGACTCCATCTCAGGCACTTCCACGTGTCATGTGTTCATCTTTTGGGTCCCTTTTTTAGAGCCTCGCTTATTGCTCACTTCGTGCTTATTCCTCGAGCACTTTGTTGGGGGTTCCACTTCTGCTCTCGACCTATCAAGTCGAAGCTTTTAGTCCAAACGTGTTACGCTCGTTTGGCTTTTGCTTTGGCCACTACCACGTGGTGCCCTTCCAGCTCCACTTTGGGGCCTAGGTATTTTATGTCTCACAGGTAGCTGTCAAATTGGTTTAAATCCAGACCACTTGCTCCTATATATAAATTAGGGTTTTTGAGCTAATTGATATGCATATTTTTTATATTCCCTTTCCATATTCCAAGCACTCACAAGAGGTATAAATTAATTTTTATCTTCCACAATGAAAAACAATTGTAATATTCACAAGAAGGAAAAGAAAGTTTGCCCTGCAAAATGCTAAACTTAATTGCCCTGCAAATTTGAAGCTTGTGGCAGTGGCAATAGTGTTCAGTAGCTTTGCATTCGTTACACCATGAGCCAGCACAAGGTTCTTAAGTATACAATAGAAACATCACTATGTGAGAAGAAATACTCCAGTTTTTTCTTTCCCAAGTAGGTGGCAAACTATAAGACCTGGTTGAAAGGGAGAGTTCTGCACAGTACACACTAGAAGATGGCCATGCTGCGTGTTTGAAGCCAACTTTTCTCTAGGCCTGGAAGAAGAAGCTTTAAGTTTATGGAATTTATAGAGCAAGAGTACGAGATACAACAGGTTTCTATATACTATTATTCCCTTCCACGGCTGTGCAATAGTTTGTTGTGCAACAGTAGAAAGGGCGCTACCGAGACGAAGAAAACAGTCTTGTGTGTGTCAGATCATTGTTGTCAAACAACATTGATCGATCTGGAATCACAGCACTAGTGCCAGATCGCTCCAGTTTCTCGTCTGACCGTTTGTCGTGTGAAAGTTTTATGAAGTTGCTCTCTCCACTCATCTTCACAGACAGCAGTAATTAGCTCCTTTCTTCGTCTTCTTCATTGATTCTTCTTCGCTTTCTTCTCTACTTTTTCTTTCTTCCCCCTGTGTAGTTCGTGCTGCTTCTGTGGAGAGCACCAGCCCAAGCTATACCACAAAGTCCATCCTACTGTAGCGATAGTCATCAACAGTATAGTGGTCATGTTCTTGAGAGATCCTACCGCGATTTAACGAGCAAGAAAGGGAGTGATGTTTGCATGGCGGGACAAGCATGGCACAGGTTTTGTAGATCCCTATACGAGTCTTTAGCTTCCTTTCGTTGAGGGGTCAAAAAATTCAAGCTTTGTTCTTTTCTCATGAATATTTTTTCTTGGTCCTGGTCCCTTGTGTGTCTGAAGCATCTATCTCATAGCTAGGAACATTTTCAAGAGACCAGCAGAGCGGAAAACATTGATTTAAAACAAACATCTCGTATATAACACCCAGCGTATTCTTCTCGTCCCAGTCGAACTTCATCCTGTGTTCTTCCCAAAGCTTCCACAGGCATTTTCTAGTTTCTGTTCTTCTTTTTTCTTGTTGATGGTGCCATGCAGATGGGTCGATCTCCTTGCTGCGAGAAAATCGGTCTCAACAGGGGTCCATGGACTCGTGAAGAAGACACGCTCCTCACGCAGTATGTCAACGAGCACGGCGAAGGGTCTTGGAGAACGCTTCCAAAGGCCGCAGGTTTGATCCGCCCAAATCTCATTCCACTCCTTGTCTCTAGCTTACTTGCTTATGCCAGCAACATGAGAAAGACATTCAAGCGGCTTTGAAGTCGTCAATACCACGGTCACCAGTCTTAGCTGGACCCACGCAAGAGCTGCCTCCTCAAATGCCCAGAACTCCTTGAACACTAAACATGGATTCGTGGAACAGCAGAAAGTTTCAAAGGGCACAGTCTGCCGGTGCCCCCAAGAGTACCGTTCACTTTGCGGACGAGGTAACCATTCAAGTTCCTTCTTCCGGCTCTGCTCTCGCTTCTCCACCTTCAAGCACTAGAACCCCCAATACCAGTGAGTTGTGGTCGGTTTTTTCTCCACATCCGGAAGTCGAGCAGCAGCCTTCCACTCCCAAGCCTTCAGCTCCAGTGAAATGGAGTTATTTAAGACGACGAGGGCAGCAGTCTTCCACTCCCGAGCCTTCAGCTAATTCCCAATCACCAGAGCAGCGTCTCAATCTGATAGCTTTCAGGCTCGCAGTTCTTGAAAAGTTCGCCACTGGCCTCGGGAAATTGGCCTTCGTCTGGGCAACTGTTGTTCTCCTCGGTGGATTCGTGAGCAACATTCCGGCCAAAGACTTTTGGACGATATCGGCCTTGCTGCTGACTGAAGGAACGCGGGTTTTCAGTCGAAGTAGCGAGTTGGAATGGCAGCAGGCAAATTACAGCTTGGGAACTCTCGGCTTCAGCTCGTTCGTGTTCGACAAGAGCGCCAGATTAAGGCAGACGTTCTCTGCAGCCTTCGACCATGACCACCCTGAACAGAACGTTAGCAGAGATCGACTTTCCAAAAATCCAGTAAAGAAAGATTTATACCAGGGATTCGGTGCCCGAAGAACTTGGTCCGTGGGAAGCGTCCCGTTCCTGCCGTATGTAAAGTCCCTCCCCACCAGGATCATCAGCCTTTTCATGTACTTCCTCCAGCTTGCTTCTGCAACAGTCACCGTATGTTTCTCAGTATATCGACTTGCCGAGCACGGCTTCAATGCCCAAGGAAAAAACACTGAGCAAGCACTTACGGTGTTTTACGCGATGATGCTGGCAGAAACGTCGCTATTCCTCCTGGAGAGAGCATATTGGGAATTCAAGCTTCATTACCAGAGGTTGCTGGAAGTAGCACTCTAACGTGTGAGCTTGATCAAGTCGACATTGAAACCATGAAGCAGTACTGGTACACATTGTACTCACGATCGCTGAACGGAAGCGTGTTTGATGGCCTGGGAATGGACCTTATCGATTTCACCGTCGAGAAGCTGCAGTCAAGCATAAGGGAAGAGCAGCTCGGTAGCGTCAACATACTGTCAGCTCTTGTCTCAAAAGGAGATTCAATAAAAGAAACGCGACGGAGGATGGAGTTGTGGAGAGACTCTTAGAGATGATCACCTGGAAGGATCGTAGTGAGGCCGAAATCAGGAAAGCTGCAACGATAGTAATCAGGCACCTGGTTCATCACCGCCGTAACTGCTTCAGGATTTCCGCTATCCCTGGATCCCTGGAGGCCCTCACTGCTCTTTTAGCCGCAAGAAAAGAAGAGGAAGTGCTAGAAGAAAAGAGCTACAGACTCACTATCCTCAACGGGCTAGCCGTGGACCACAGGATATCCGTGCGAATCGGTAACACCAGCGGACTTATCTCCATCCTGGTTGAATTTATCCAAGACGAACGAAGGAAAGAAGTATGCCGTCAATCACTCAAGCTTTTGAAGAAATTGGCTCGCGTGGGAGGAGATTCTGGACGGTCACTGCGAAAGAAGATGGTGTCGGTAGTGCCAGCAGTAAGAAGTCTTCAAAGGATGTGCAATCTCAAAGATTTGGAGCTACAAGGCCTGGCAGTCGACGTGATCAAGCTGCTAGCAACCGAGGACGAGCTTAGAGATTGCATTGGTGCGACTGGAGGAGTTATCCAAAGCTTGATGGCCATATTTACGAGAGAAACCGCACCGAAGAGCAAACAGTTGATCATCGCCATGAAAGCCGGGGAAGCCATAATTGTGCTCGTTTTCCAGTGTCCCAACAATTGCTCGAGGCTCCTCATGCACAAAAGCTACAGACAAGGTGGCGTTAGCAAGACCCTCAAGAGCTTGATCAACATGCTCACCAAGCCAGTTGGAGTCCATGCAGCCATAATTTTGCGAAGCTTGTGCGGTGACCTTAACGACGAAGAAAAGTTGGAGCTTGGAGCAGCCATATCTCCCATCATCCAGATGGTGCTGGAATCCACGGACATGGAACAGCTGGCAGCCATCGGTTTGGCAGCAGCCATAATCCCCTGGCTTAACTTTGAACAAGGCGTGCTATCGCAACAATCACGGCTTTGCGAAAAATTCAGAGAGCTTCTATCCCACACAGCACCTTCTAGGAGCTTGAATTGTATCCGGCGATATAGCGTAGAGCTTCTGAACAGCTTGATGGCAAAGGACGCCAGGTTCTTGCGACGTTTTAGAGAAGACGGTGAAATGGAGGCGTCCCTGGAAGCAATGTTAGCGACTGCCTCAGACGAAGAAAACTTCTTAACGTTTTCGGGTTTTGTGGGACTTATCAAGTATTCCAGCAGCATCGAGGAGCTCGTCAAGATCGCCCTATCGAACTTACACAGGCTGTAGCTTCACCTTTTCCAAAAAAAAAGAACCTCGAATGTGTCATGCTGTTAAGAATAAAATACAAATTCAGTTTCAGCAACTTGCTCACGTAAACTCTAAAAAAGAAAGAAAAAAATCAATCAACATCCAAAGAAGAAGAAGGTTACTTCATAGGAGATTTGAACTCGCAGCAACTTCGCTCACGCAATTGTAATTCACTAACAGAACTCTAAATAGGAAAGAAAACATTAATCAACATGAAAAATAAAGCTTCCTTTACTTCATAGAAGATCTCCTTTCTGAAATTGTGGTCACCACTCCACGCTGTTTTGAAACTTTCCAAGCATAGAGTTCGTACTTTTCCGCTGTCACGAAAGTTACATTATTAGAATCAGAACCACGAAGAGGTGAAATACAAGAAGTTTCATGAGCAGCAAAACCTTTCAAAGGATATCATCCACCGCTCGAATTTGTCACCGACATCAAGAAGAAAGACTTCTGGAACATTTCCATCTTGCTGTTGACTGAGGGAACCCGAGTTCTTGGCGGAATTAGCGAGCTGGACTGGCAGGAGGCAAATTACATGAATACTCTCAACATCCGCTCGCTCGTGTTCGACAGAAAGCAGGCTTTCGACCATAATCAGCACCCTGCACAGAATTCTAACAGTGTTACAGTTCAATTAAGAAAGATTTATACCAGGGAGTTGACGCCATGGTCTGTGGGAGTCATCTCGTTCGTAAATTTTCTTCCGACCAGGATCATCAGCCTCATTTTGTACATCCTTCAACTACTAGTCAGTGTCCCGAGGCACAAAAGGAGCTCCTCGACAACTTGATGGCAAGGGACATGAAATTCTTAGCTCGCAAGTTCTACAAGCTCGATCGAATGATCTTACGTTGGTGTCACTGAGCTCCAAGTTGTAGAAGACCATCGAATCTCGATCACCAAAGAGAGGACCAGCGTGCCAAGTTCCTTCGTTTAGCTTGATGAAGCGAGGACCATCTATCTTGAAAACCTGGACGCTTGCATGAGAGGGAGGTAAATAGTAGTGGCCACCAGCGTTGGATCGAACAGCGCCCTCGTGTTGCGATGAAGGATCCACAATGCTGGGAAGAGAGACCGCCATGTACCAAGGATGAGCTCCCACAGATCCCAGACACTGCGTCACCCTGGCGTGATGCGTTATCCTTCTGAATCGCAGCCCCGTTTTCTTGAGCTCCATGAGGTAGAATCTGCGCAAAGGAACCATCACTCACTCAATCACTACCGAGCCGCTGGAAATTTCGGCCACATTTTGCCTGCACTACCTGGGAATCCCATTCGCGAGATTGAGCTGCGCCTCTCCCGATCCATACTCGCATCCGTCGCCGATCTTTCCCAGGAGCTGGCCAAAAGGCCGGAAATTCTCCTCCGTGATCGGCACTGCTCGCAGCTTGAGCCCCATCGAAGAACCCTAGCCCTGGCAATATCGCCAGCGCAGGAATCGAACCCATTATAGTCAGCCAAGTCAACGGTCCATTGGTCAACGAAAGTCAATTCTGGTCAACAGTGTCCAAACGACATCTATCCGCTACGGGCACTGAAACTTAAAGCGTAGAAAGGATATAAGCCATTGTAGCAGCGAATTTATGGCCAGAGAAACTTAAGGGACAGCAACATTTTTAGAGTTTTCTCATTTTCTTCACTTTGTTCTTGGTTGTGGGCTATTTAATCTTTGAATTGGGAATACAGATGCCATGGTACAAGTTTAAGATGCCATCACAAGGCATTTACTATCACTGTGAAGTGCATGAAGGAACTTACAGCAATATCTCAACATCCTCATAAGCTCTCCTATAGCAATAGTCTCTTTAGAACTGTGGCACCCAAATCACATTTAGGGATGACAATGTAAGCCTCAAATTTGCACCCTGCAAAGCCTTGCAAAGGCATGTTTACCTTGCATTTGAAGACTGATTTTTAATTTGCCTTGCTATTTGAAAGAAATGTTCAATGTTCACTTTGCACTAATGAAGTATAGAAATATTTTAGTGTTGCCACTTGCAAGGCAAAGAAAATTTGTACTACAATGTAGCGATAGCAACAACAATAACATGGGATTAAAACATTCTTTGCTATTGCCTATGGGAGGGAGAAAAGAAATATAGATCAGCAAAATATTGCAAGGCAAAAGCTTCATGATTCCTTTTTTTGTGAAAGATTTAAAATCAGATAAGAAGATAAAAAATTTTCAATAACAGAAGAAGAAACTAATACTTCAACCAATAAAAAGAGGAAAAAAAATAGAGCATTCAGAACTGAATGGAAACTCAGTTTTCCTTGGATGTATTTTATGGTGGATGTTGAAGGCAATCAAAGGATAAAATGTACAATATATGTATATGC